CTTAATGAACTCTTTTTTATGCACACAATCCTCTCCATAATCCCTTTGAAATTTAAATGCAATTCTATTATGCTTTTTTTTTGGTTCTCAGTCAATTCCTTCTATGAAAATTGCCAGATTTTTCATGCATTTTGGTCATCTTCAACTGGACTCTGCCTTGACTATGTCCTTCTTAAAACATAAAAATGTAAAATAGTATTCCAGGCATAATTTCACCATAAATAGGATATTACATTTCTATTAGTGGAGTATAATAATTTGTTTTCTAATGCTGCATTACTCATGGGTGGTGTGTTGAGGTGGCAGGCAAAACTCAAATTCTACAACATTGTGTTCATTATCCTGTTAATTGCATTTTATTTCAGCACAATGCTCCTGCCTCCCAAGATGACTTTGAACCCTAATTCTATTATCTCTCTCAGGCTGACTATTCCTTCTAGCCTCCTGTCATGCAAAAATTATTAAGGGTTCTGGAGAGAGACCACCTCAATTCAAATCATGATACTACTATTTACTAGCCATGTGATCTTGGGTAAGTTAGCCAAATCCTCTGTGTGCCTCAGTTCCCATATCTGTAAAAACTAGGAATAATGATCATAACTATCTCTTAGAGTTGTTCAATGAAATAAACGAGATAATATATATAATAAGCCTAGGATGCTGTCTGGCACATTGTAACTGCCTAATAACCATTAACAATTAATCTTAAAATTATTGATAAGAATAATAAATAGGTTGGTATCAAGGACAAAGCTCCATGGCAATTTTGGGTAACTTCTCTCACATATGAGAGCATTCAAAATTCTTTGAGAATATCATTCAAAATTCTTTTGAGAATATCGATTCAGCTAGATTTATACTCAGGTTTTTAAATAATTAATTAATTAATTTGACAGAGAGAGAGAGAGAGAGAGAACAAGCCAGGGGAGCAGCAGAGGGAGAGGGAGAAGCAGGCTCCCCCCTGAGCAGGAAGCCCAATGTGGGGCTCAATCCTGGGCTCGATTCCAAAACCCTGGGATCATGACCTGAGCCAAAGGCTCAGTCACTTAACTGACTAAGCCACCCAGGCATCCCTATACTTATTACATACTAAAATCCAATCTAAAAAACCTCAAGATATAAAAGACATTCATTATCATCAATTTTTAGTTATGTTAAGAGCCTAGAGTCTCTAAATTTAACCTTCTTATCACCTACCAAATACTGTGTGAAGAGAAAGAAATCAAGATAGACTAGACTGGTAAGAAAACCTTTACCACTAAGAAGATAATTTCAACAGTTCAAGAAATTCCTACCCATGTCAGAAGTCTGGCACAATAAGAGATAAACACATTCCAGTCCTACTGCTGTAATTAAGCAAGGAAATACAATGAAAATGAAATGTTCAAATGATAACAAAAGTATAATGAAAAAGAAGAGCATTTTTAGACACTTCATCTTTTATTAATAAGAAACATCCAGGGAATACTAATGAAAAAGTCTAGGGAGGAACAAATGCCTGTAGCACTTGTCATCTGCAAACAGAAGAGCTAAAATTCTCAGACGAAATGTAACATCTGGAATATTAACTTTAACGGTAGTGGGAAGCATCAAAATGCATATTTCAATACCCAACTTTAAAAACTGCTAGCTGACCTCTAAAAAGAAAACAACAAAGGAATATAAATTACTATATGTATAGCATTTGTCACATTTATCCTTATTAACACAGTCACATTCTTAAATTTTTCCAAGAAAAGATTAATCAAATAACCACATATGGGTAATCAAGGAACGAAGGTTTACATCCAAACAAATGGCTGTCATACAGCTTCTATCAAGCTAACAGTTAGTGACTGTCAGAACTGAGTTCAAATCCTTACTTGGCAACTCAATAACTGTGTGACTTTAGGCAAGTTACCTAAATTTCTCTAAGCCTATTTCCCCAATCACGATATGGAGATAATTTTTACCTCACAGGTGTTTTTGAGAGGCTGAATTAGGATATATTGCATGTGTGTTTTATTGTGGTTAAACACACATAGTATAAAATTTACCCTTTCAACCATTTTTAAGTGTACAGTTCTGTGGCATTAAGTGTATTCACATCATTGCACAACCATCATCAAGGATATGTTTTTAAAGATGGAGCACACAGTAACTGCTCAGTGAATAGCAGCTAAAATGACTCTCATTAGTGTTATCGCATTCTGTGTCTGTGCAAATTATTTATCCACTAAAAAAACCCTAGTTCATATTTACTTCTATTGAATTGCACCCATTTTAGGAAATACTAATTTCAAGTTTTAAGCTGTAAACTATATTCTTAGCTTTCAAATTCTTCATTCAAGTGACTGACAAAAATATAAAAATATCAAGAGCTAACAACTACTGAACACTCAGCATGTGCTCGTGCTATTCTAGGCACTTCTCAGGTATTAACTCATTTAATCTGTACAATAATAATTCTAGGAAGTATACAGTGATAACAGTTACATTTTACAGCTGAGTACAAAAAGGTTACAGAAGCTGCCCAAGGTTAGCCATCTGGTAAGATGACAAAGCCAGGGTTTGCACTCAAACAACCAAATTCTAGAGCCCATGCCCTTAACCATTCCACTATACCACCTTGCACACATGTAGTAACATGAGGCTCATAGGAATGGTGACTTTCAGATGCCAGATGTTACATGTTGACTGAGTCTTCCAGTTTCCTGGAAGCTTTGACATCCAGTATTTTGTGTGTTCCTCATAATGACAATAAAGAGCAATCACCCCATTTTATAGATGGAGAAGTGATTTGCTCAAGGTCAAATAGGAACATGTGAGAAAGACCTGGATCCCAGGTTGGACACTTATTACCTATAAGTGCATCTATAATCTCCTTGAGCTTCACTCAATTGTAAAATGTAAATAACAATAACAAGAATATAAGAAGTAAACAAGTGTTTGCAAAGCATCTAGCATAGAGCCTCATATAAAAAGTGCTCAATTAATGTTAGCCCCCCCTTCCTCATTCTCCTATCTGTGCCTCCTGGTATAGTTATTCTTTCTAAATACCATGCTACTACTCGATACCCTCTTACCAACTGTGTTAACAGATGGGTGGCAAAAAACATGATTTTTTGGTGATTACCATGTGATACCAAATGAAACCTCACTGAAGTCCAGCTATATTATATAATTTTAAGTATAACAAACTTCCTCCCTTTTGTCCATATGGTCTATCACTTCATCAAAGTAGAAAATAAAACTGGTCTACCAAGATTTGTTCTTTACAAAATTATTCTTAATGTTCCCCAATACCTTCTGTTCTTTTAGGTAACTGCCAAATGATTTACTTGGTTTGTTCTAGTTTCTGACCAGATATTGTTTAAAAACCAAGTTGACCTTATCATTGCCAAAGTTATCTCTTTCCCCTTAAAAAAAAAAAAGTATGCTTTTTCTGTCATCAGACACTTCTCCTATTCACTATAATTGATCAAAAGTAAAACCTAATAGGATGGCACTATGTTCTTTCCCCTCACATTTGCATAGAAGGAATATCTAATGCTGAATTTATAAACTATAAACTATAAACTACTAATTACCGTAGCCACAAATGTGGCCACGGTAATTAGTATTTCTTGTCAATTGGGCAGCATTTTCTTAAGAAAAGACAAAAATGGTAGGAGGTAGCATGGTCTCTGATTGCAAGGATGTCATGAAGCACACCCTGTTGGCTTCCAAGTAACATTTAAAATATTCCCATCTCCTAAAGCAATCTGGAAGCGGTTGTTAAAAGCCAAAGGAATTTTTCAGTCATGTGCTTACTGAAATCTACTACTTTGCAGAAAGCTAACAGCATACTGGGAGGCAACAATCAGAAACACCACAGAGAAAAGTGGTACTGTGGGAACAACTCAAGACTTGTGTGTGGCCAGTGAAGGTCCACTGCCAATTTTGTAACAGTATGAATTTGGTAACTGTTCAAAGACAAAAATGAAGTCTGAATGTGAGCAGCTTTTTGAAGCAGCTTTTGCTGAGGCCTAGTAGTTAAGTAGCTAATATAAAATAAATGAGCTATAAGAAGTGGTAAAATACAGGCAAGGATTAGGAATTAAAATAACACCTATCAATTGATTTACTTAAAAAAAAAAGCACTGTGTTAAAGACAAGATATTTTGCTTCATTTATTCATTCTTGAGCTAATTTTATGAAAATGAGATGGGGGATTATATTTTTGGTGCTTAAGTTTAGCCATATATATGAATGACAATGTTATTTGTCCCACTAATCTCACCACTCTGACAGAAGGATAAAGGAAATAACAGCTGTTAAAACATTGTTCAAAAATTAAAGTATAGGGGCGCCTGGGTGGCTCAGTGGGTTAAGCCGCTGCCTTCGGCTCGGGTCATGATCTCAGGGTCCTGGGATAGAGCTCCGCATCGGGCTCTCTGCTCAGCAGGGAGCCTACTTCCTCCTCTCTCTCTGCCTGCCTCTCTGCCTGCTTTGTGATCTCTCTCTGTCAAATAAATAAATAAAAATAAAAATCTAAAAAAAAAAAAAATTAAAGTATATAGCAACACAAGATAGAGTTGTATTTTTAAAATTTGCAAGCATCTACAATGAAGTCATTTAAATGGTACAAGTCCCAGTGGCAAAGTAACTTAGTGATATTTTTCTCAGCCCTTTCTGGAATGTTTATCAATGAATAAGAATTTTTGTCTTATCTGTTAGTTCCTACTCACTTTGCTTTACTTTTATAACTTAATATTCATAATTAATAAATCCAATATAAGTCTGGTTAATTAAAGAGTAAAAATCTGGAACATTATCTCACAAAGTCACTATGATCTATGTCATTCTAAGCAAGAATATCTTAATATTATTGCAAAGACTCTTCAGTTTTAAATAAATGGGTTTTATAAAATAAAAGTAACTTTCCATTACTGATATTCAAGCCAAAAAAGTAAAAAACATGAATGTTTTCAAACAAAAACAATACTCATATCCTTGTCCCATCAGACACCTCAACTTACTTCATCTCCCTTCAAAACTTCGGTGCCATCAAATTCACGGGTCTGATTTGTCTTCACTGACACCTCTCTCTCTAGGTTGGCCAACTTCTCCTTTGCTTCCTGAAGTTCCTCAGCTTTGGCTTCTTTTTTATGAGAAATGATGGATGCCTAATTGAGCAATAAAAATGAACGTAAAATTAGACACACTATTCACTTTCTATTATCTTGTGAAATTATCAATTTTTTAGATTTTATCAAGCTAAATTTTCAATATCAGGTTGGCTTCTCCTAACCAATACCCTTTGCCCTACTACCTACCATCACCAGTTATCTGTTTAATATGAATATGCAATGTATACTAAATATCAACCACAAAACATTCGGAAGATAAAAGCCCTGAAAATATAGGCTATATCAGCAGAGAAACAAAATACATTAGTAATAAAAATATTAAAATATTGTCAAGTAACACTCAAATGTTAATGAAGATATTTTCTAGATACATAAATAGAAGCTTTCCTTAAGTCTTTTATTTTTCTGCATGGTAGGTTCCATTTCACTGAAAGAAAACAAGAATGTTTTATTCTCAAAACTACAACACAGACTATCTTACCTAAATTCAATATCCATACTTTGAAAATGAAATGTTAAAACATCGATTATATTTGGGGCATTCTAATAAATAAAGTGCAGATTTAAAATCAAACATGTGACTCATAAGAATTAGGCAAATGTTTACACAATCCAGATGGCCGTTCTTAGCCATGAACGCAGCACTTTATACTACTAAGCAACTCTTGGGGGATTTCCTTAAATGAACCATGGCTGTACTAGTTTAAGAAAAACATTAGCCAAACTGTCCTCTTAAGTGAAATAGTACAAATATTTTCTTGACACAAATCTGACAGAGGAGGGGAAATCTCTAATGCAAACCCTTTAAACAAGTCTATTTTCTCTGTTTAAAAAATGAAAGACAGGGGCGCCTGGGTGGCTCAGTTGGTTGGGGCCTCTGCGTTTGGCTCGGGTCGTGGTCCTGGGATCCTGGGATCCTGGGATCGAGCCCTGCATCAGGCTCTCTGCTCAGTGGGGAGCCTGCTTCCCCCTCCCTCTGCCTGCCTCTCTGCCTATTTATGATCTCTCTCTGTCAAATAAATAAAATCTTTTTTAAAAAATGAAAGACAGATGATGAAGGAATGTTTCTCTCTATGGAGTTATTCCAGCCAAAAAAAGAGAGAGAGAAAGAGAGAAGGAATGATAAGAGTACCAGAACCAGAGAGGAATCAATGGTATACTTCCTTAACATAATAAAAAATAAGTATAAAACTCAGTCCAAACCAGGATCTTATTTAACAGAGAAACTAAATCTGAAATAAGGTAAAAATGCCCACTAACTCCACTATAATTTAGTATTGTGTTGAAGGTATTTGTTCATACCATTAGACTAGAGAAAGCAATTTGAAGCATAAGAATTTGACAGGAAAAGTTGGAATTTTCATAGTATATGATTATAATCCTAAACACCCAAGAGAATCTATGGGAAAACTAAGTAAAGAAATCAATTACACTTACAGACAAATGAGGAAGAAGACATAAGGAAAGAAAAGCCCTCAATTATAAGAGCAAAAAATAAAATATGTAGGCAAGAGAAGTCCAAAACTTTGAGGGAAAACAAACACTCAAACAAACCAAAAAATAAACTTGAACAAATGGAGACACATAACATGTTCTTAGATGGGAAGACTCAGATATCATAAAGATGTAAGTTCCGAGGTACAAACCCAACAATTAAAAAATTATTTTTTTCAAGAGCTGGACAAGTGGATAAGAAAGCTTATTGAAAGAACATACAAATAAGAATTGTAAGGAAAACCCTGAAAAATACAGCAACTGGGGGCGCCTGGGTGGCTCAGTGGGTTAAGCCTCTGCCTTCAGCTCAGGACATGATCTCGGGGTCCTGGGATTGAGCCCCGCATCAGGCTCTCTGCTCAGCAGGTAACCTGCATCCCCCTCTCTCTCTGCCTGCCTCTTTGCCTACTTGTGATCTCTCTCTCTGTCAAAAAAATAAATAAAATCTTAAAAAAAAAAAAGTAAAGCAACTGGAGGTGAAGGTGACTACTTTTATCAGTTATTTGAACTAGATTATAAAGCTTCTGTAAGCAAGTTTATATGAGTACCTGAACAGACAGGCCAACGGAAAAACAGAAAATACAGAAATAAATCCAATAGCATTTTAAAATTAGAACAGAATCTCAAATCCATAGGGGAAAAAGTGGACTTTTTATTAACTGGTATTAGGACAATTGGATAATTGGATAGCTATATACAATAAATAGCATAACTAGAAAAAAAATTCTAAATAGATCAGAGATTTAAATAAAAAAAATTAAACAGAGAAGTCCAAAAAGAAAACTTGGGCAAATTTCTCTATAACTTACAAGAGGAGAAAGTGTTCCTAAATATGTCTCAAAACCTGAAATAATAAAAGAAAAAAACTATTAAATTTGATTTCATAAAAATAAAGAACTTTTCCATGGTGACGTAACATTGTAAACAAAGTAAGAAGGCAGGGCACCTGGGTGGTTCAGTAGGTTAAGTGGCTGCCTTCGGCTCAAGCCACGATCCCAGGGTCCTGGGATTGAGTCCCGCATCGGGCTCCCTGCTCAGTGAAGAGACCGCTTCTCCCTCTCCCTCTGCCTACTGCTCTGCCTGCTGCTCTGCCTACTTGTGCTCTCTGTCAAATAAATAAAATCTTTAAACAAAAAACAAAAGTAAAAAGGCAAATACCAAACTGGGGGAAAATGTTAGAATTATAAGCCAGACAAAGAGTAAATATTTCTTTTCTTCTTCTTCTTCTTTTTTTTTTTTTTTCAGGTAGGTTCCACACCCAGCATAGAGCCCAACATGGGGCTTGAACTCACGACCCTGAGATCAAGACCTGAGTTGAGATCAAGAGTCGGACGCTTAACTGACTGAGCTGCCCAGGCATCCCCAAGGTAATTATTTCTAATATATAAAGAAAAAAAGGCCAACAACTCTCGAGAAAAATGAGGATATAGACATGACGGGGCAATTCACAGAAAAAGAAATTAAGATGACTATTACTCTTGTGAGAAGATGCTCAACCTTGTTTACAGTAAGATAAGCAAAAATTAAAACTATCACAGGATATGATTTCTCACCTACAAGGATGGTAAAACTCTAAAAGTTCAACAACATACTCTACAGGGAGGCAGTGAGGGAACAGGCACTCTCCTACACTGCAGGTGGGAACATGAAATGCTATAACCTCTATGGAGAGGAATTTGGCAATATCTACCAAATGTACCTATGCATTTATCCTTTGATGTAGCAATCTCAACTCTGGGACTACATCCTGAAAGTAACACTGGCAAAAATACACCAAGACATAAACAAAAAGCTGCTTACTGAATCATGATTTGTAATAGCAAAAGAATGGCAACCACCCAAATGTCTAACTGTGATTGCATGAACTGTGGTATAACGACTCAGTGGGGACTGTGAACAGGAATAAGCATACCAACTACGATGGCTATAGTTTAAAAAAAAAAGAAGAAGAAGAAGACGACGACGACAACAAAAAACCAACAGATAACAAGAAGTGTTGGCGAGAGAGCTCCTGGGTGGCTCAGTGGGTTAAAGCCTCTGCCTTCAGCTCAGATCATGATCGCAGGGTCCTGGGATCGAGTCCCACATCGGGCTCTCTGCTCGGCGGCGAGCCTGCTTCCTCCTCTCTCCCTCTCTGCCTGCCTCTCTGCCTACTTGTGATCTCTGTCCGTCAAATAAATAAATAAAATCTTAAAAAAAAAAAAAAAGAAGGGTTGGCGAGGATGTGGAGAAATCAAAACCTTTCTACAATGTTGGTTGGACTGGTTTGGGAAGAGTCTGACATTTCCTCAAAATGTTAAACACAGGATTATCACACGAAACAGCAATTCTACTCCTAGGAATATACTCAAGAAAAAACATGTTGTCACACAAACACTCGTATAAAAATGTTCATAGCAGCATTATTTGTAACAGTCAAAAAGTAGAAATAACCCAAACACCCCTCAACTGATGAATGGATAAACAAGATATGATCTATCCATATAATGGAATATTATTCAATAACAAAAAGAATGAAATACTGACTCACACTACAACACGGGTGAACTTTAAGAACTATGCTTAGTGAACGACGCCAGCACAAAGGACCACATATTGTATGATTCCATTTGTATGAAGTGTCCATGATAGGCAATCCTATAGAGACAGCTTGGTTGCCTAGGGCTAAGGGTTGGGAAGGAAACGCAAAGTGACTGCTAATGGGTAAAGGGTTTCTTTTTGAGCTGATAAAAATGTTCTAAAATTGATGTAGTGATGGTTCCACAACTCTAAATATACTAAAAGTCACTGAATTGTGCATTTTATATAGGTGAATTGCATGGTATGTGAATTGTACCTCAATAAAGTTATAAAAAAAAAAGGAATAAAGATTATTTTACTATTCACCAGCATATATCATTAAGAATTTTGAAAAGTGGGGTGCCTGGGTGGTTCAGTCGGGTAAGCATCTGCCTTCAGCTCAGGTCATAATCCTAGGGTCCTGTGATCAAGCCCCACCCACAACGGGCTCCTTGCTCAGAAGGAAGCCCATTTCCTTCCTGCCTGCTATTCCCCTGCTTATGCTTGCTCTCTCCCTCTCTCTCTCTCTGCCAAATAAGTAAATAAAATCTTTAAAAAATTTTTTAAAAAAGCATGGAAAAGAAAAGTGTGTATAAAATGCTCTTCCTTCTCTAAGAAGTTATATGAGTCTATGTATATATATTATTATTTTTAATGGAATAATAAAGTATATAATTTTTTTAAAATTACCTATAAGGGAAGGAAAGATTATGGTGGATAGCATCAAAGTAGATGCTAGAAACTTCTCTGAATATTTCTTGTTTTTTAGATTTGACTTGGAATCATGTAAGTATTTTAAATAATTATAAAATAAATTATTCCCCCAAAAAGTAATCCCTAGGGGTGCCTGGGTGGCTCAGTTGGTTAATTGGCCAACTCTGTATTTCAGCTCAGGTCATGATCTTGGGGTCCTGGGATGGAGCCCTGAGTTGGGCTTTTTACTCAGTGGGGAATCTCCTTGAGGATTCTCTCTCTCCCTCTCCCTCTGCCCATCCCTGCTCATGTGTGGGTTCTCTCTCTCTAAAATAAATAAATAAATTTTAAAAGGTAATCTCTAAAAATAAACATATATACGTATCCAGTTTAATTGATGGCATAATCGTATAGAAGAACTATTCTAAGTGACTTTAAAACAGTAATTTGTCTATCCCTAGTGGGATATATCCTAAGGATAAAACAAACTGAAAAATAATTTTCAGCAGCAATCATATTTTTGATGGCAGTATTATTGCTTTTATTTTGAAACATTGTGTGTAAAGTGTGGATTAAAGCAAATAATGGAGGGGCTCCTGGGTGGCTCAGTGGGTTAAAGCCTCTGCCTTTGGCTCAGGTCATGATCCCAGGGTCCTGGGATTGAGTCCCGCATCAGGCTCTCTGCCTTGCCGGGAACCTGCTTCCCTTCCTCTCTCTCTGCCTGTCTCTATGCCTACTTGTGATCTCTGTCTGTCAAATAAATAAATAAAATAAAATTTAAAAAAGCAAATAATGGATTAAATTATATTCATGTTACTGAGAACCAGAATTTCCCATGTGGGATAAGGAGAAAGATATGAGACTGATAAGGCTAAGTAGAAGCCCAGAAGCCTTGAATCTGACCTGGAAGGATAAGTATGAACTCATGGTGTACGTTAGGAAGGAAGAAAAAAACTACCTCTTAGCTTTGTCCACTAAAAAGACCTAAAAATAATGACCACCCAGGAGCAATGGAAAGTCCTAATACCCAGATTTCAGTCTCTAAATATTATTTCCTACTAAAGCAAATCAGATTCATAGAAGAAAGTCTAATTCCAAGCCTAGGATAGGAAATATAAAAAATGAGCACAGAAATATCTTAATCATACCAGAAAGCAAAGACATTATCAAAGACAAATAGAATCTTTTTTTTTTTTTTTTGACAGAGATCACAAGTAGACAGAGAGGCAGGCGGGAGGAGGGGGGGCAAGCAGGGGAGCTGGATCCCCGCCAAGCAGAGAGCCCGATGTGGGGCTCGACCCCAGGACCCTGAGATCATGACCTGAGCTGAAGGCAGAGGCTTTAACCCACTGAGCCACCCAGGTGCCTGACAAATAGAATCTTAAAAAGGAATCAGAAGTTACTTGAAAAGCCTCATAGTGGTCAAAAATGGGACAATTTGAGCACCATTAAGGAAAATGTCTTAAACTTACCAAATAGAATTACATCAATGACTCATAATGACATTAAGTAAATAAGCAACTAAAAAATGAAAAACTATCCTAATTGATGGAGAATGAAAATGACTTGGAGGAAACCAATTCTCTTTGAAAACTGATAAAGAATCAAGTATGTAGCTTGTCTTTCCTAAATGAACTATAGTTCAGTTTAATCAAATTGTTGATGAGAGGTTTCTTTTATAGAGGCAATCCCGCTAATAAAGAAAGGAATCAATGGTATCAACAGGACACTATTAAAGGATAAACAAGTTTCTTCAAATAAATTAACTGCAAGAAAACTATTAGATAGATAAATAAGCGGCAAAGAGAAGCTACAAATTAAAAGATACTTAAACGTATCAATGAAATGCAGTGTATGAATCCTGTAAGTATCTCAATTAAAACAAAGCAACAAAAGAAGGAAGGAAGGAAAGGTAGGAATGAAGGAAGGAAGGAAGGAAGAAAGAAAATCCAGGAAATATGAACACTGGATATTTGCCAATATCAAGGAATTATGACATTTTTCAGATGTAGTATGCTGTTAAAATTTTTAAGCCTTTATTTTTTAGACATACATTCTGAAATATTTATAGATGAAATGATATAAAGTCTAAGATTTGCTTTAAAAAAACTAGATTATTATTATTGGTCTGGGGGTATAGTGAAACAAGAATGGCCATGATTGTTATAGTCTGAGACACAGGGTTTACTGAACTATTTTCTCTACCTTTGTATACAGTTTAAATTCTCCAGTATAAAAAGGTTTTTAAAAATTTTACCATCTAAAAAAGAAAATTTAGCATCTGTGAAAAATGCTTTGTTATGTAGCTCAATATTTTGTGAGGTTACAGAATGCTCATCACACTAAACTCCTGACTGGGTTGTTTTCAGATCATCTATGGCTTTCATTTGAAGCATTTGTCTAGAAATACAGAACAACATTTATACCCAATCTTAGAGTTGTGGATTAAATGCCTAGGCACTAAAATTTAACTTATTCTACACTTGCCAACTATCTTGAAACCTGAAAAGGTATATTGCCTTTAATTCATTAAAGATTACAAACATTTTGATTTTATACCACTTGAGGTAAGCTTTCATTAAAAAAAATCAAGTTTCACACCCAAGAGATAAAAACACAAAGAGCTCTATTACCACAGCTGGCAGACGGTAAGGTAACTAAGCATAATCAGGTGTATTGAATTTCAAACTTGAACATGCATGTTTTGTGGCTTTTCCACAAATTTTTTGTTATAATCTGGAGATTAGCAATAACAGAAAAATATTTATTCTTTACTTCCTTCTTACTCTAAGACTATCCACAACACAGCCTGGGATTTTTACAAAGATGTTCACCAAAAGATAAAAGATCTAAATATGAGGGGCAAAACAGTGGTCTCACCTGTTGCCTATATAGTGAGAGTTTGCCTTCAATTGGCTCATTTCTCATCATTTTCTTTTCAATTAGCTGATTGATCTGTGCGTTTATTTCATTTATCTAAAACAGTATGAAAGTAAAGAAAGTTAAAACTCTTCCTATGATAACACAAACTAAGGGACATTTGGCCAAACCAAGCTTTGAATTTACTGTTCTTATCATCTGTGATTTCATGGAAGGAACAGGTTCGTTAATGTTATAAGTGGGTTGTTATGATTATTTTTAGAAACAATTTACATTTCACAGTTCATAATATATATTTACACATTTTGATGACTTATATAGCCATTCATGTTTAAATTATACTAAGAAATCTACATGAAATATTTATACATTATTGTCAGAAAGACAATTTCTACAAATCTGAAATTACCCCTTACCTAACTTGTGACTTTCAAGTCACTGCAAGTGATAAAGCAAATCCAGACTAACATTCCCAAGGGATTTAGTGCAAGGAATTCATGAACCCAACTGAGAGTTGACATGATGACATCTAAAAACCCTTCTGTGATCTGTGATTTGATGATAGTTGTCATTTATGCTACTCATTACTTCTTTATCAAAGGTAATAAAATAGAAGTGAATAAAGCCAACAAAAGCATACAGTCCCTCAGGTAATTAAAAAAAAAAAAACAACTCCCTGGCTTTTAGTATATCTATCCTTTGAAAAGACTAGAGTTCTCCCTTTAATTCCATGACATTAAATTTGAGCCAAATCACACTTGGACATGTAATTTCTATAAGAAAATTGAAAGTATAAAGTAGTTAGAATTATGTATTTAATTATAGTGGCTATTAAGTACATTAAAGGATTAGCAAATCAAAATCGTCAAATTAATTGTCATATTTGTTATTTTTTAAGAATACACACCTGATTGGTTCTTTATTTCTATGGAACAAAAATGTTAAAACATAAAACCAGGTTTCAATAAGCATTACAAAAAAGTTCAGTAATTCCAAAGCAAGCATAAAAGGTTAATACAAATACTTTAGTTTTAAATATAAAATTGCTATATTATTATTTTTGGAAATAAAAATTAATGATCTATGCAAAATATTTTAAAATTTACCACCTAAATGATTATATTATGAATACATAAACCTATAAGTCAAACACTTTAATTTACTTATTCAAGTTACTTAGTTTCCTAATCAGTTGACTAAGTCTTTATAACATCATGTGGATTTAAGTAACAGCATTACAAGCTACAATTGCTCAAAAGAACTCTTCATAAAGCTGTCAACTCAGCACAGGTTAACTTGAGTCAAGAGTAGGACACTACAGAAAGCAGTTCATATAATTTTCACCGGACTGGGGATGAGATAAAATTGGGATCTATAAAAAGAAGATGATTGTCACTTACTTTAGATTCAAGCTCAAGAAGATCAGACTGGCCCATGGCAGGCTCTAAAACCACTTTTTGTAAAAAATGCAATTCTTTTTTCTTGCTTTCTAATTCTTTAGGAAATTTTTCAGTAACCATATAAGAATTAAATTTTATCTCCTCCTCTAGCCTCTTCATTAAACCTTTAAAAATAAAATAAATATTCAGCCCAAGAGAGTTGGTATAGTGATACTTTGTACACTTTAAAATCAAAAACCTGAATAATAGGCATATATATCAAAAGCAATCTATATAATTAAAAATTGACCATTGAAATTTTTTCCCAATTTTTAAAAAGTAACCTCTACACCCAACATGGGGCTCAAACTCACAACCCCAAGATCAAGAGTCACACAATCCTCCAATCGAGCCAGCCAGGAGCCCCGAGCATTGAAATCCCATTAAAATCATTTGATGTAATTAGAATGATAACAGAGGACAATCTACACAGAATGACCTTAACATAATTATAGAAAAAGTAATATTATGATCTTTCCAAATTACTACCTAATTCTTTTTATACTTCGCAACAAACAAAAATAACATCTGCAGAGCAAGATCTCTTTCGGGTCATATTTTGCCTTTGAAGTATTTAAGCAGTCTGTAACACAAATGGCAACACACATGAAATTTCACCCAGATTCCTTCTTCTATAAGGGGCCATTTACTCTCCTCCTTTCATAATACTTCTGGTGCAATTTATTTCTATTCTATTACTTCATAAATGGTAATAAATCATACTTTGTCAGTTTCAAACCAAGGAAAACATTACTAAAATACAAGTTAAAATGCAAAAAAAAAAAAAAGAAATTATCTACATTCATAAACATTTTTGGCTTTCCGTGTTTGGTAGTTTTGATATTGTAAAATATTAGCTTATGGTAAGTGGTAACTTAAATTATACTTTAAATATTTAATAAGTTTTCTTATTTTGGTAGAGTACATAAATATATACACACACAGATTTTCGGTGAATAATGGTTTTGTTATAAATTCTCAGCCTAAAGAGCTTTAAAAAGTTTATTTCAGATCTTTCCATTACACATTTACAAATTCTGGCTTGACTTTTTAAAACACTGGATTTCCGGTTTATGTAATCTACGTAGGTAGATTGCATAATAAGTTTGGCCCAAAGCCTTAACATTATTTTTAGTTCTGTTGTGCTAACCATATATTAACATGTAAAAATTTATTAATGGCAAAATCACAAGTTTTCTATTCATCCCTACAATTTTCCCCCTTTTTTAGGGACTGGGGAAAGGGAGGGAAGAGAAAGTGTTTAACGACTCAGACTATAATTAGGCAGTCATTCCTATGTGGTTTCCGATTAAATCTATATCCTGGCTTCTTTGGCTATTAGGTGCCCAGTTCTTCCAACTTTTAAGTTCTTAACTACATGTAATCAGAGATGTAAAGAATCAAACTTAAATGTTTTTAAAGATTTAAAAGTCTTAAATGTTATTTTCCCTAGATAAAAGAAAGATTTGGGACACCTGGATTGCTCATTTGATTGAGCATTTGACTCGATTTTGGCTCAGGTCATGATCTCAGGGTGGTGAGATCAAGCCCATGGTCAGGCTTCTCCCTTAGCAGGGAGTCTGCTTCTCTCCTTCTCCTTCTCCCTCTCTCACCCCTCATACTCTCACATTCTCTCTCTAATAAAGAAATATAAATCTTAAAAAAATTTAGAAAATACAAATTCATCTATATTGACAAAAAGGAGATCAGTGGTTGCCTGGGAATAGATAGAGGGACAGAAAAGGGCAAAAACGAGCTATCACAAAGGACACAAGAAAATATTTGGGGGTGATGGACGCATTTATTATCTTAAGGCTCTGGGCTTTATCAGTCTGTACATTATGTCAAAATTAATCAGATGTACATCTCAAATACGTGCTGTTTATTATATGTCCATTTTACCTCAGTACAAATGTTAAAAAATGTAAACACAGGGTTTCTCTTACATTTTAAAATCTTCTCTTAAAAGTTTTAACTTAAGACCTTGTAAAGCAGTCATATGTTCTATGTAGCTTTTAAAAAATTATCTTTCAAAATCCTGGTGAAATTAAATATAAAGTTACTAAGATCACAGCAAACTTTTGATTAAAAACCCTCTGGAGACATCTCACTGGCCTTACTATAGTTTAATGAGTAGCTTCTTTTATATAATAAATCTAATGAAAGTGTAGAGTATAAAGATGAATTAACTTCCATGAGTGTTTTATAATATGGCTGTTAATCTGAAAAAATACAAAGCACATTCCTACACTAAAAATAATTTTTATTTATATAAATGGAAACTTTCCATAAGTCATTTTTTGCTAAAAAGTTTAGATAGACCTTCTTAAAGGAAATACCTGGAGCAATTAAACATACTTCATCTACTCTCTTCCCAGGCTGCTGAATACAACCCTTAAGACTGTCTTCCAGGGACGCCTGGGTGGCTCAGTTGGTTAAGCAGCTGCCTTCGGCTCAGGTCATGATCCCAGCATCCTGGGATCGAGTTCCACATCGGGCTCCTTGCTCGGCAGGGAGACTGCTTCTCCCTCCGCCTCTGCCTGCCACTCTGTCTGCCTGTGCTTGCTCTCTCTCTCTCTGACAAATAAATAAATAAAATCTTAAAAAAAAAAAAAGACTGTCTTCCAGAAAGATATCAACAAAGCAAGAGCTCCTTTACTTGCTGCTCCCCACACCCTGTCCACCCCCAAAGAACATATATTGCATACGTAATATCTTATTTTTATGCTTTCAGCCGTTTTTTTCTTACTTTAACTCCCCTCCTATCTGTGGAAATGATCATTCTGTTCCTATCCAGGGATTTGGTCTCTACTCCTACCTCCTAACTACTTAACAGACCATTTACTGAAGGCCTGTTGTGTATAATTTAGCATGCGAGGACCTGGAAATAGACCAATTATGACTCGGTGACTAGTCTGGGGTTGCGCTGAGTCAGATTCAGATAATGCCGACAACTGCTGTGGAACATTCAGCGCACGGCACACGGGAAAGGCAGCCATCGCTTCTCACCTTTTCCTCCTAGATCTTCAGTCTCCGATTGTGTGACTGACTCTCTTCTGCAGCACACAATCACCCCACGCTACTACCCTCTCACTGTCTAGGCAGGGCACTGTCTTCCTCATTCATTTGCACACTCCCTCCCTCTCTTGCCTCCTTTTCAAAGACAACCAGTCAGAAGGAGCCAACCCTTTTCTCTCTCTCTCTCCTTCATCTCCTCTATGTATGTTCTGTCAGGTCACTGGGCCTTGGCACGGAATGTCTTCTACTCCTTCGCTTTCCAATGTGAATTTAACTCGGGGGCCACCTCATCCAGGAAGCCATTTGAGTCTGTGATCGGGTTTGGAGCTTTGCCTCTTTGTTTTCACAGGATCCTGTGCTGAGCGCCATCAGCAAATTTGTAAAGCCGCAGGATCGCTGTTCACTGCCTGTCGTTCTGTATTAAACTGAGAGAACCTCAATCTCTTTTCTTTCTATTCCTAGCACCCGGCACAGTTCCTGACATGTAGTAGATGTTCAATAAATACTGAATTAATGCACTGTAGGTTTGAGCCAATTATTTCTATTAGTACTTAACAATGCGACTGATTTTATTATTTAGCAGCAATATTACTTATATTAATGTTATACCAACATTTCAAGAGATGCATAAAACACAATTTTATTTGTGAATTTTATTACTAAGTGAATAATTATGTATTTCCTGGCCCAAACAATTTTTCTTTAGCCTAGAAAGCCAAAGAAAAATAAAAGACTAACAATTCAAATAAAAAAATGAAATGTTGCTAAACCTATAAACATCTTTGGATATTTTGTTTAGTCGTCAGAATTAAAACATAATAGCAAGAACTACCTAACCTAATAAGATTGAGGATAACAGATACTACAGAAACACATTTTCAGGTTTCATTACAGAAACACAATTTCACATTACATTTTAAATTGTATTAAACTGTACTGATTAATTGTTTTTCTGCATACCAAATCTTTCCATTCTTATACACATTACCTTCATTATTATTAATGAATTAATTGCTATTAATGGTAAGTTCTAATACTTTCTTAGTAAGAGTAGGCCTATACAAATTACTTGTTGATACTAATTTTTAAATGACTATATATAATGGGTTTCTTTTGAAGATTTACCTTACTTTATTGCAGTAGATTGTGAAGGAACCTACATCAAATCCAAAGAACGTATGCTAAAAAGACACAGATTACACTAAGGAGAAAAAGAATCATTAAAAAAAAAGTATTTTCTTTGTTCTAAAAATTAACATTCTCCTAAAAAGTGAAAACTTAGTGAATGAAGAATGAAATGACCCCAACAACTAAACGCCTGGCAACTTCCAGGTATTGCTTGAATCTAAATTGTAAGACTAAGAGGTGTAAGAAAGTCTACGGAAAGCCGCTAATTAACATGTACTAATCATGTACTTTGTAGGCAACACTACACTGGTTTTTCAAATATTAATTAAATATACCATATTTCCTTGGTGCTGAGATGCCACTGATAAAGTAATAAATACCATGGTAAATGTGTAATTAAAGTGTAAGATGTATCCCAAAGGCAAAAACAATTAAAATGGGAAAGAATAAGTGTCTAGAATTAAGGAAATACTGTATTATCTCTTCCAAGAACTTTATTGAGATATACATTACATGCCATAGAAAAGTGTATAATTCAATGGTTTTTAGTAAATTCAATGGTTTTTAGTAAATTCACCGCAATCAATTTTAGAACATTTTTATCGGCTCGGAAAGCAGCTCTATGCTAATTAGCATTCCCTTCCTCCACACACCACACATACACACAGCTGTGTTCTCCTACAACTCCCTACCCCCAGGTAATCACTAGTTTGATTTTATCTCTCTAGATTTGCCTATTCTGGACATTTCATACAGATGGAATCTTATAATATGTGATCTTTTGTGACTAATTTCTTTCACATAACATGTTTTTGAGGTTCATACATGTAGTATGTATCAGTACTTCATGCCTTTGCATTCCATTGTGCAGATATAGCACATTTTATTTACTCACTCAACAGTTTAGGGACATTTGGGTTGTTTTCACCTTTTGGCTATTATGAATAGGCTGTTGTGAACATTTGTGTAAAAATTTTTGTGTGGACACAAGTTTTCAATTCCCTTGGGTAGATAGCTAGGAATGAAACAGCTGGGTCATGGTAACTCTGTTTAACATTCTGGGGAATTGCCAGATATATTTTTCAAAAGCAGTCACACATTTTATACCCCCACCAGCAACATATGAGAGTCCCATTTTCTCCACACTGTCGCCAACACTTGTTATGGTCTATCTTTTTTATTCTAAGACTTACAGCTTAGAGTATAATATTTCATATAATACTACAGAAAGATGAATTAACCCTTGAATAGTTAGATTTTTATACTGAAATATTTCTCCAGTACCAATGAGAGCTTTCCACTGCTTTTCCAGTTTACGTGGTCTCCCTTCTGATGAACAAAAAAACTTTAAAAATACCTAGGATGGGTTTGGTGGTGTAATCTGGAAATATTACAATAATTTATCTTCTAAGTAAAGCTAATGTGACAACAGAGCCAGGGATACCCATGTCATTAGCACAACCCAATATATGAAAAAACACTCAGCTTTAAGGGTCCAACATTTTACTCTTTTTTTTTTTTTTATAAGCCCAGGCTCTAAAACAATTATTCTCTACCCATCTTTTTGCTAGCATGCATCCTAAGTGTTTCATATGCTCCTTCACCAGAAAGCCTCCGTCCATGGTGGTTTTCACGCCCTTCACTCTCTGACCAAACAGTGAATGGGAAGTATAAAATCCCAGGTAAAAACTAAAGGATGTCTTCAACAGAGCTCTCATTCATTAACTAGGAAATGACACTCTAAAATGCTTAGCTATCACTAGACGATAATTAATTCCCGTGAGTTGACTGCTTTAAGGAAAACTACTGACTTAAACTAATATTCTCTGATCATCTGTATCATATAATAGTTTCCACTTACTTTCAGGCTTTGCATCTGCTGCTGCATGGCGCATACTTTTCAGCTGATTTTGTACTCTTTGCAGTCTCTGCACTGCATGAAATAGCTTTAAAATACAAATAGATCCATTATTTGCTTAGTCTATTGAAACCTACCACTCACATAGACAAGCAAAGAAAAATACAAGTTCCACACAATTCTTGTGATGTAAAAAGAACAAATAATAAGAACTAAGAAAATTACTGTGTTGAGCCCAAAATGTAACTGGTTTTCTCAATACTTTTTCATGTAAAGCTTTTTTTTAAAAAAAAGCGTTCAGAAAGTTAATCTTTAGTTATTGGTTGTACTTAGTAATTAAGGAAAAATACTTGGTAAAGAAATATACACACCAGGCTTTTCTTGTTATAACATGGTTTTCTTTTTTTTCTTCTTTTTTTCTTTTTAAGTAATCTCTACACTCAATGTGTGGCTTGAACCCAAAATCTGGAGATCAAAAGCTGCACACTCCACCAACTGAGCCAGCCAGGTGCCCCTAACCTCATTTTCTTAATTCTAAGAAATATTAGCATTCTCACAAATGATGTCCTAGAATAAGACCCTGATGTACCATTCAGTACCATTCAGGGCCCAAGCAATGCAGCTTACTGTCGCAGTGGAACCACCACGATGCCAAGTCAAGTTCCAAAAGAGTCAAACATCTTATTGAATAGGAAAGGGAGCTGATTTGAAGTATATTTTTAATGTATATGCCTACTCAGTTTTAAGATAGATTTTTAATAAAATAGAAGTAATCCTTCCTAGCCAAATTATTTTTGCCTTAAGGCAAAGTCTAAAAATGTGGATTATGGTTGATTTTGAGCCTTTTCATGATTTGCTTACTTGCCACGGGAATAAACTGTAGTGGATACTGTGATCAGCAGAAAAAAAATAGATATTCTTATAGCCCCAGAATCTCAGGACACTCTTTAGAGATGCTATAATTTTTTTTTTAAGATTTTATTTATTCATTTGACAGAGAGAACAAGCACATGCAGGGGGAGCAAGCAGAGGGAGAGGAAGAAGCAGGCTCTCTGCCATGCAGGGAGCCTGATTTGGGGCTCGATCCCAGGACGTGGATCACGACCTGAGCCGAAGGCAGAGGCTTAACCCACTGAGCCACCCAGCCTATGAGTTTTATGAGCAGTTAATCTTATGCTTACCATTACAACGAATGCTCTGTAATGTTGGGTCAACAGGAGTTAAGCACAGGCCAAAAGGTAGTATAGAGATACAAACTGGGTACAGAACCCCAAAAATAGTATTGCTGCTGTTGGTGCCACAAAATCCTCTTAAGAGTATTCCATCATGTAAACAAACTTCTACAATTGTAGAATTCTTTTTTCTTTACATTTGAACGATCAAAAGGAACTATTTCTTTCATTATGAGAATATAAACTTTTATGAGAATACCTGATTCTTTTGTTCCTGTTTCTGTTGTGCAAGAAATTCTTCTCTCTCTTTTTCAACTCTAAGTTGCCTTGCTATTTTAAGCATCCGTTGATGATTCTGAACTGTCTCCACCTACAGTAAGGGAATAAGTAGTACATGTTACTGTCAAGTTCAAGGAAGAAATTAGCATGTCATGTGACTCAGACATCCACTTATCATTTCTTTTTGGCAAACAGTATTCCCTAGAGATGACAGTAAAGTTCCAGACTCCAGGTCTCTCAAAGTTCTGGGCTACTGCCTAGGAGATTCCCCTTCTGTCAATGTTATTTGAGCCGATCCTCAGATGTACACCCATGCCTTGCTTAATCCTTATTACCATTCCTAAATCCTTTGCACTTGGGGCCAAAGTCTTACAGGGCTAAGTCTTGCCTTACCCTTTTCTTCAAACGTTCAACTCTCTTAATGAGCTGATCCTTTTCTTCCTCCATGGCACTGATATCCTAAAAAGTAGTCAAGGAGACATTATAAGAAAAAAACATTCTTTGTAGATTCAAATAAAATTTTCACATGATTGTGCATCAGCCATTTTCCTACTTAAAACCAGATCGTTAAGGAACAAAGATCCTCTTTTGGATAAAGGGTTTTATTTTATTTTTATGTCCCCCTAGGGTTCTTTATGCAGGATAATTTATTTGGCAGCTTAGTGTTCATTTAGAAAAGCAACCAAAACAGGTTATAATGTAGCAAGGTAAAGCTGCCAACCAGCACATTAGTGTTCTGATTCCAAATATGGGCACACAGTTTTTCAAAAGTCTTCTACAATGCAAAGTGTACAGGTCTAAAACCATGAGCAACAGCGGCTGACATGCCATCTGTTCTGTTAAATATCAAACTATATATTCTGCCAATTTCCCATCAAAATTATTTTTAAAGCTATGATGTTTCCAAGACAAAAATGTGTGTCTGGTTTTGCCAATTAACCAATTCCCTTCCTAAAACTAAAGACTTCAAAAATAAACTGCCTTCCTTTTAATCAGCCCCATAATATTTTCTAGTGAAAACAAAAAATCCTTCCTAAACTTAAACTAATATCCTAACTATCACAGTAAACTAAAGAGAAAAATATACATAGTAGTCAGTATTGTTAGGATCTGAGGAACTAGGCACTCTTACTCACCACTGGTGGCATGGTACAGAAGAACAGTATCAAAAGTCTTAAACATACATATATGTACACATACACACACACCATATATACCATGTGGTGTATTCCATATATATATACCATCAAGTCTGGTAATTCCATGTCTGGGAATTTGTCCTAATAAAATACATATGGAAGGTCAAAGACTTCTCTATGAGGAGTCTCACAGATGTTAGTCATATCTAAAATGTGTAAATTACCATATGTCTGAGAATTATTAAATAAACTATAGCACAATACCATGCAAGTCATTATAAATTATGAAGAATGTTTAATAACAGAAAAACTCATGGTATGACATTACCTGAAAGATGAAGATTACAACATTTATATATAGCACAATACAAGGAAAAGATTTAAATATATTGACTAAAATGTCAACAGTACTTATCTCTACAGTGTGGGATTATGAGTGAATTATTTTCTATTTCTTGCTTATCATATTTTCTAAAAAGAACATGTTCAAGAATACTTTGGCAATAATGAAAATAAAATGATTAGACTCTTGGTCATTTCATCATTTCAGTTTACTCACATGACATAACAGAGGAACAGGGGATGAATGTCCATCACTCTTCTTTCACACCATAAGTATCCTCTTTATGGGTCTTTCTCCCCACTAACTGTGAGCTTATCTTTCATTCCTGATACACTCAACAAATTCTTTTTTTTTTTTTTAAGATTTTATTTATTTATTTGACAAAGATCACAAGTAGGCAGAAAGTCAGGCAGAGAGAGACAGGAGGAAGCAGGCTCCCCGCTGAGCAGAGAGCCTGATGCAGGGCTCGATCCCAGGACCCTGGGATCATGACCTGAGCCGAAGGCAGAGGCTTTAACCCACTGAGCCACCCAGGCGCCCCCACTCAACAAATTCTTACTGATAACCTACTAAGTGCATAGTACTGCAAAAGACACTAGGGATATGGTGAAGAAAAAGACAGACCATGGCCCTTGCCCTCATAAAGATAGTTGGGAATGACCCATTAAAACAAAAGTTTAATGAGAAAAAAAAATAGTTGGGAAGACAGACATTAAAGTAATTATAAGTGTGATGAGTATTATGAAACAAAAAGAATTGGGCGAAACTAATGCATCTATGGAATCAGGGAAGGCCTCCCTAAGGAAGCAACTTCTATTGTTTCCTGATTAAGAAAATAAAGATGGCATGGAATAGCTCAGGAATTCTAAAAATACAAAATTCATGAAAGTGAAATTAGCATACGTTTAGGGAAAGAAGCTATAGGCCTGGTGAAAATGTTAAATTTTTTTTGGAGATCATTAAGTAACATGTGTCAAAAATATTAATTTTTATAAATTTATCCGAAGGAAACAATTACAGATACCCCCAAATAAATTTATGTATATAAAAATCATGATCATAGCATTATATAATAGCAAAAAATAAAATAAAAAACCAAAAATGGTTAACCTATGCATACTATGGAAAATTATTTAGTAATTAAAACTCATATTTAGGGGCATCGGGATGGCTCAGCGGGTTAAGCAGCTGACTTTTGATTTTGGCTCCGGTCATGATCTCAGGGTCATAAGATCAAGAACCATGTTGGGCTCCGAGCTAGGCGTGGAGCCTGCTTGAGAGTCTCTCTCTTCTTCTTCCTCTGCCTCACCACCCCCAAAATTTAAAAAAAAAATCATATTTAGGGGGTGTTTTGGTGGCTCAGTGGGTAAAGCATTCAACCCTTGATTTTTGCTCAGGTCATTATCTCAGGGTTCTGAGATCAAGCTCCATGTTGGGCTGAGCTGGCATGGAACTTACTTAAGATTCTCTCTCTCCCTCTGCTCCTGCCCCCATTCCCTCTCTAAAGAAAAAAAAAAAATCATACTTAGAAAGATAACAATGTGAATATAGTCACAATGCAATTATTAAAAATGAAAGATATAAATAACTATGTATATAGTATGATCTCAAATACCTACCAATATAAATATACACGCAAAGCCTGAATGGATAGCAATTGGATGATTTTTATCTTCTTTGGTTCTCATCTCTATTTTCTATTATATATATATGATATATATATATATCATATATATATGATATATACTTTATACTTTATGTAATAGATATTCTTTACTACATATATATAGAGAGAGAGACAGAAAAAGACCCACAATGTAATCTTTTTTAAATCCATGTTAGGAATCTATATCGTACATAAGAACATATTGTGAATTTACCTTGGTATCATTAATTTCTTCAGTAAAGAATGAGCAAAGTTTAGACAAAAGAAAATCTGTCACTTGCTATCACTAATTCCCATACAGTTTTAAGACTCATACTGAATTAACAAAACAAGCTGGAAAAATTAATATTCAAACCTAAAAAAAGATATTGTTACTATATTTTCTTTGCTTTACCCTTCTTATTTCTGCTGTAGAAAATCCAGATGTCTTAAGTTGCTCACATTCTTTATGCAAAGTTTTAAAGGCTTCCATTAGCTCTTCATACTAAAAGACAAATTAAAAAATTATAAACTAATGACTAGATCCAGTAGACTTTTCTTCATCAGGTTATCAATTAACTCATAGTGATTACTTAAATCATTATATAACAGCATTAAAAATACATCCTGAAACATTTATATAAGACACAAAAAAAGTAGGTGTGTATAATCTGGTCACTAAGTACTTCTCCATCTTCCTCTCTGGTTACTTCCCTAACTCACATTCTATACTCCAGCTATGGTGATCTTTCAATCTTTGGAATACTCTATGCTCTCACATCCAGTTTACAAAGCCTATTACCTCTGAGAATACTCTATGACTTCCTCATCCATTACCTGGGTAATTTCAGTTCATCTGTCAGGTCTCAGCATAGATACCACCATCCTCAGGGAAGACTTCTCTAGTCCTATACTTATTCTAGATCAGAGTGTCATGATATCAGAATAAAAATCATGTAAAATTATAATTGCCTAGTTACTTGTCTGCCTTCCTCCATTAGACAGCAAGAGTCAAGAGGACAAGAATCCTATTATCCAGTGCAATTTAGTATCCCTGGAGCCTAGCATCACTGATATATTCAATAAAAAGTAGCTGAATGAATGAAAAAAATCACAACTCTTACCCAAAATTCTTCAAAAATAGTACTTTTTGTGAGCACTGACAGGATTTATTCTAAAACTCCTCATTCAGGAAGACAACATGCATTTTTTATTAGGTTCTGTGCTAAATGACTGGCTAAATGTATAAGTCATTTTAGATTTACATCTCACACATTTCAAGAATAAACATGTCTTTATCATTAATTCTTCTACTAATTATCTGTGCATATTTAGTAAAAGCTATTAATAAACTTCCTCCAGAAATTAGTTTTTATCAAGTTGATTGATGGGGGAGTGTAGGAAGGAGAAAATATTTCACATTTACACTTCTCTATTTTCTACATTATGTAAAGCCTTCAAATGTAGAAGTTGGGGTACTCTCCTTCTGTTGTAATTCTCCCATGACATCCCATTCTGTTGTAATTCTTCCATGACATCTCCCATGTGATTCTCTACTATAACATTTGATATGATTATTTACATAAATCTTTCAACACCCAAAATGTCTTAAGAGATCAGTATTGACTCTGTTTTGACTAACTGCCATGGTTATCCAAAATAACAAAATAAATAGATGAAAAACCACTTAGTTTTGATTGTTCTGATTCAATCCCAATTTTAAGCACATACTGTATAGAAACAACTCTATAAAACCCTGAAGGAAAACGCAGATGGATAAGGCATGAAACCTGTCTTCACAGACCTCATAATCTATTGGGATAGAGCGACAAACTATTCACAACAAACTGCACAATCAGTCTATGCATATAGCAAGAATAAAAGCAAAGAGGGTTAAACACAGGCACTTTTTAAAAAATCAAAGTTCTTTGAAATCTTAAGCCTGAATCTCCTTTTTCCATAGTCTTTGATCAGCAAGGTGCTTTGAAATCCCAGGACCAAGATCCAGACCAGCCAGAATCCTCAGTAGTCAAGAACTTTAAAACAAAAAGATTTATCTATCTATCTATCTATTTGAAGGAAAGAGAAAGAGCATACACACTTGTGAGTGGGGAGGAGAGGTAGCAGAGGTGGAGGGAGTGGGAAAGGGAGAGAATCTCAAGCAGACTCCAGGCTGAGCATAAGCCTGACCTCAGGACACTGAGATAGTGACCTGAGCCAAACCTAGAGTCAGAGGCTTAACCTACTGAGCCACCAAGGCACCCCAAAAGTAGTCAAGAGCTTTAAGACTATAAGGCCAGAACTCAATATCACCCTAAAACTCTAGACAAAAAGTACACTGAAATTTCAAACTCCTGGCCCTTTCTCTATCTTCTGCCTGACTGGGAAGTCCTTTGAGATCTCAAGCCTAGCTTCTCTGCCTGTACAAAATTCTCTCAGGGGCTCACAGGTCCTGATTTGTCTGGGATAGTGTCAATTTATACTTTTGCCTTCATGTAATTATTATGATAGTCCCTTTCTCTCTGATTTGGATGACAAATTGTATAATCATCTAACTGATCAGCAAAGTGCTCTGCATTCCCAAACCTAAAATCCTCTCTACCCACATTTCCTAAGTAATAAATTATTCTAAAATCCTAATTTCAGGATTTTCTTCTATCTATCACTGAAATGGTATTTGTGTGGAAAAGTCAGTATTTTCATACGTCATTACAGTTGAACATTATTAGCCATTTTACCTTTCGGTGCCATCTGGAAATGAAGAGAAGCAAATAAGTTAAAGAGAGATTAACAGCTATTTGAACATGTGCACCGTGACATCTACATATAGTTTAAAAATACCATTTGTGTATTGTGTACCTGTTTATTGGTATCAGCCACAGTTTCATCCTGAAGAAACTCACTTGGTACCTCAAGTTTTATTAAAAAACGAGCTAAATATGCTCTTTTCTTCAGTTCACTAGTTCTCTGAAGAAGCCAGTGGAGTACTGGATAAATTACGGGTTTACTTCCAATCACCAGACCCTGACGAAAGGTACTCCTATAAAAAGAAAATAAACACAAGCAGGTGATCACCCTCCACCCCTGGCTTATAACAAACAAAACTTGAAAAGAGATAAAAGCTCAAATACTAATTTACAATTTCTTGATGGCTTTCCATGACTATTTAAAAAAAAACAACAAAAAACCAAGGCTATTCTAAAGTCATTCTGTGTATCAACAATAAACATAAAATTAGGCCTGGAATATATCACTGGACTATAGGGGAAGATTGTACTGGAACCATTAATTGGTAGTCTGCCTTAATACTTCATTTACTGGGCAAGTTTAAGTGATTATTTTTATCTAGGATGGCAGATAAATGATAAATGATAAAATGGAATAGTAGAATTTGCCTGTTTTTTGTTTTGTTTTTTTTGGTTTTTTTGATTGGGGAGAAAAGTGACCCACGTAAGACTTTTACGTGACAAAATAATATTAAAAGTTCAAGATTATTTTGAAATTCAGTGACGTACTAAAGCCATTGACACAGAGACCAGGTACTGCCTAGAAAAACTGAGTGTAGCCCATGAAAGTTTAGATATTCAAGCACAGCTTTAAGAAAGCAACATGTGATCAAATTCTTACATGTCTGTGGCATTTCCTGGAGGTTTATATTTAAGGATACCAAGAAGGCTCAACATCCTTTTGGCTGTTTGCTCTGGCATCTCCTCTCTGATATCAACAACTTGCTAACAGATAAAGAAATTGAAAAAATATGTTATTGTTGTGTATCTAACAAAGAAAAATATTTAAACTCACTGATAAAATTGTTCTACTAGAGCATAACAGGCACAATGATCTCCTCATAAAACAGATTAAGTATGGAGGCCCCCAGATTCCAAGTGAGGGTACATACAAATCAGATCAGGATTTGTATAAAGAATGTCACGCTTGGGGTGCTTGGGTGGCTCAGTCGGTTAAGCGGCTGCCTTCAGCTCAGGTCATGATCCCAGGACCCTGGGATTGAGCCCCACATTGGGCTCCCTGCTTGGTGAAGCGCCTGCTTCTCCCTCTCCCTCTGCCTGCCGCTCTGCCTACTCATGCTCTCTATCTCTCTGTCAAATAAATAAATAAAATCTTAAAAAAAAAAAAAAAAAAAAGAATGTCAAGCTTAGAAAGTATCCAGTGGAAAAGACCAGTGTATAAGAGACGTGACCTAACTTGCAATACAATAAAACCTTTTGTAAGAGCATTTTCTTTCTAGGACCAAATCAATTTATGTTTGGAACAGAGAAATAATTTCTAAATAAGGTACAAGCAGATAATCTAACTTTTTAAAGATTATTTATTTATTTATTTGACGGACAGATATTACAAGTAGGCAGAGAGGCAGGCAGAGAGAGAGAGGGGGAAGGAGTCTCGCCGCGGAGCAGAGAGCCTGATGTGGGGCTCCATCCCAGGACCCTGGGATCATGACCTGAGCTGAAGGCAGAGGCTTTAACCCATTGAGCCACCCAGGCGCCCCAGATAATCTAATTTTTAAGCTCGTGGAGAAATCTTAAACATCATTATTACTTTATAGTCATGGAAAATAAGGCCCAAGAGTCACAGATATTTAGAGGCAGAAAACGGCTTTCCTGCTATCCTTTTCATCACAAGAAAGAGAAAACTCTTACCTTTGGGTCAATTTCAGCCAGAACATCATTGAGAACTTGCAACAGTTGCATTGGCTCCAGGGAATCAAATGTGATTAAATTATAGTTCTTCCTAAAAGGTTCTTTATTGAGATTGTCCACAATGAATTTGATTTGATCACTCATAATTGGGTCTTATAACTAAAAATAGAGATAAAATTCCTCAATACTGGTAACAAACATTCTGGAAAAAAATTAGTATTAAGTTTATAGGAAGTAGGAATGAAGAGTATTAATTCTCCGTGGCATACAAAATGCTGTGAAAAGGGTTATTTTATTGAAAGAAATCAGGATATGAAGACTTTTGAATGTTACAGTATACACTGCTAATACTCAATGCCATGTTTTGTATATACATCTGGTAAGACAGCAATCATCTGAATTAACACTGAGTTCATATGGACAAATGAATAATAAATCCCACCTACAGTAACATCTCTCCCATTCAGCTCCACAACTATCCAGGGGTAAAAATCTGGTAGGCTACAGACATACTTCTAATATATATATATATTTTTTTTAATTAGCAGCCTATGTTTAAAAAGTGGGAAATTTTTTTTTTACATTAAAAATCCAGACATCCAGTTTCTCTTCCAAATCAGATCTGGCAACCGTGGGCACATAACTGTGCACAGCCACACCCAAATGAAGCCGAGCTGAGGCTGCAAGCTTCAGTTTGGATGTGCATTCTTTGGTTTTCTGGTTTCCTCCAACAAGCACTCTTCACCCACTGATGTAATGGACTGTAGGCATCGACTCTGCCACCGCTGACTAATTCAGGCCTATGTTTCCCTGTGCCTTCAATAAGGAAACAGCCTCGAGTTTTCTGGCCCCTGCCTCTCCAATTCCAAATCGTTTGTGTGATTCTCATTGCTCACAAAATAAATTCCAAATTTCTTGAATTTTGATTTTTCAGATGTAACTCAATTGAGTTTTCCCACCTTCATTTTTCCAAATTGTTACCTTTCACTCTTTTAAATTTCACCCAACTGAAAGTTACTGCTCCTTAGTTTTTTCACCTGTCTTCAGTTAATGCTGTTTTCTTACCTAGAAAAACTGTTCGTCTCCTGATCTCCACAGGTGCAGATCCTAACTGTCTTTCAGGGTTTACTCCCCAAATGCACATTTTTCCAGGAAGTCATTCTCAAGCTATCTCCCACATTCTCCATCAGAATAACGGCAGCAGCACCTGCCCTGGAGACTAACCACACTTAATCTGCACTGCTCTCCTAGAGTTATTTTTCTGTTTTGTACTAGTGACTCATGTACGTTTTCTCTTCTCTACTAAAGTGTAAATTCCATGAGGACATTTTTGTGCCTAATTCTATCTGTGAATACCCACTGCATCAAAACTGAATTCTTCCATTGACTGGATAAATGTGTTCACGGGCCCAAGGCCAGAAAAAGAAAGATAAGCCTAAGTCGACTGGTGGTGATCTTAAGTTTTAAAAAAATTAAATTTCAGGTTATTTAACTGCTAAAGCAGCTTTACCACGGTTCCTAGTGTTTCCTGCTTGAGGGTATCAATTGTTTAATATGGGAAGAACTGGTAGAAATTTTGCAGGCAGGCAATTTTTAAATTAGCAATTTAAAAAAGGAATTAAAAAATGAACTGCTAAGAAAAGAAATTTTTAAAAATTACTTCAGTGCTTCCTTAGAGTTTTTAACTAAGAAATGAATAGACGCTATTTTATCAAAGTCATTAGTTGGGGCTGCATGCATTTTGCTCTGAAATAGATTTTAATTGGGGGGGTGGAGCTGGATATTTGTAAAACATTAAATCTAAAACTATGAATCAGTGATTATTATTGTTAAAAAATGAGTCAAAAGATAGTAGAAAGGATAACCAATGTGCTTTAAAAATTTTGAGGCTTCCTTTAATCTACAAAAGGAAAACTTTTACATAAACGAAATAAAAATCCACCTCGGAGATGCAAGTTTTTCGTTGTTAAAAATATTTTAAGTAAAAATCCACGTCATAACCTTCCCATACATATAGAAGTTTAATGATTTAGAAATTATATGTATATAATATATAATATATATATATATACACACACACACACATATATTTTTTTCCCTTTCAAAACAAGACACTTGGATAAACGAGTAAAACGTTACCAGGAGAGGAAAAGAAACTAGTCGGGTTCCCCCTAGGTGCCCACCAGCTTTCAGATGGTCACCAGCTAAGGACAAAGATGTACTGAACAGGTAGGTTGTCTACGCCCAGCGGGCTCTGCGCTCTAAAATTAGCAAAAGCAATTACTCTCCCTCTGCCAGCGGAAAAGTCGCCACACTAATTCACGAGCACTTACCCACATAAGAGCCCAAGGGGGTGGGGGGGAAGAATTAAAACCAGGACGTGCATTTATCTGGCACAACTCGGGACGGAAACGACGCTGCCCTGGTCCCAGGCCGGCACGAGCGCGGGACCAGCAGCCTCTTAGGATTCCCAAAAATAGTGTCGGTGTCGTCCCCCTACCCCGCGCTCGGGGCTCGGGACAGGGGACCCCACATCCGACCCAGACACCTCGCGGGGGGTGATTTGGGCTCCCCGACCGCTCAACCCTCGGGGGAGCTGCCTGGATCCTCGCGGAGGCCCAGCAGGCACCAACCCCGGCGTGGGGGGCTGAACTGCTGCGACCCTCCCCTGGCGAAGGTGCTGCACTGGGAAGGGGAGGAGGAGGGAGTTTTCTTTTGGGGAGTGGGGGGCCTCAGGGAAGTTTCCGAGCGCGTCTTGCCGAGGTTACCTCAAATTCTCCTCAAGAAACCACTTTTCCCCCCCGCAGGAGGCATCCAGGCTCTACAGGGTTCCTAGAGACGAGCTCCTTGGCAACGGTTGCTAGGCCGTGAGATTACGTCACTTCCGGCGGGTGGGCCGGGGCGTTTCCGCGGGGCCCTCGGGGGCACGGTAGGGCCGAGGTCCCCAGCGGGGAAAAGTGAGGTGTCCGGCGCACGTGCAAGTGCGTTTACCGGTCCCGTGACACGGTGAGGACTGGAGACCACTGTACTTCGTGATGTCAGCTGGCAAGGAAAATATGAGGAGAAAAAAAATGAAATTCCTCACGCCCTGAAAACTTAGTTGCCTGTCCAAACATCTTGGAAGAAACCAACTACAGATTTAGTATCAGTCTCAGAGCAAAATAAAACAAACAAAAAAGGGAAACAAATTCCTTATGAGGCATCTCCTATTTGCCTTGCCCTGCGCTGGCTGCTGGCGATGCAAAGGAAGCCAGGAATTACTACAGGGCTCCTGTTTTCAAGGAGCATAGTCTACTGCGGATAAAGAGATAGACGACTGAAAGGCAACTCCAATACTATCACAAAAGGATAATGGGGGAGCCCAGATGAAGTATCCTGAGTTTATTTGGGTCTGAAGGGCCCCTACAATCAGGAAAGTTTCCACCAGATAAAGTGATGTTTAAGGATCAGTGAAAATTAGCCACATTAGATATATATATATATTTTTTTTTGAGCAGAGGGAACAGAACATTGCAAGATGACTCCATTGCTGGTTGCCTTCTGACTACTGAACGGAAACAGGCATCCTGCCGGGCACCTGGAGGAAAACGAAGACCCATCCCAGCTCACAGATGGTCCTGACGAGTTGGAGAAGGCAACACTGAAAACCTTGAAAAGTTAAATAATTTAAATAACTTTGGGAGGAACAGTAAAAGATTCATATAAGGGACTGAATAATTAATTGATCCTGGTGGGTGTATTAGGAGATTCTTTGGGCCACCAGGATTTGAAACCTGGGTCTGCCATCTTGCAGACTTACCTCTCTGACCTTTCCTGATCTCCTCTAAAATGTGTGGCTATAATACTACTTTCCTCAAAAGGCTGATGTGAGGGGCGCCTGGGTGGCTCAGTGGGTTAAAGCCTCTGCCTTCAGCTCAGGTCATGATCCCAGGGTCCTGGGATGGAGCCCCGCATCGTGCTCTCTGCTCAGCAGGGAGCCTGCTTCCCTTCCTCTCTCTCTGCCTGTCTCTCTGCCTACTTGTGATCTCTGTCAAATAAATAAAATCTTTTTTTAAAAAAAAGGCTGATGTGAGGATTAAGTGTGTCAAAATAGGTAAAGTCATTAGAACAGTGCCTGACACTGGAAGAGCTAAGGACATTTTACCTTTTTACCCCTACTTTTTAAAAAGCGAGATGGTTAGATTTGCTCTTTCTACAGAGTCTACAGATGTAGGCTATAGAAAGATAAGAGTGGTTTATTGGGTAGTTTTTAGTTCCTCCTCTGCCTGTTGCGGCTATTATAGAAGCACTATAATTTTCAGTTATGAGAATACAATCCTGTGTAAATTGGAGTAAGCAATGGAATCTACTCTTTGCACTCAAATTTGAACGGATGTTATGTTTAATGTGGTTGCTCTGGAACCCGAGGAAAAATTTGAGGCCAGTCAGCACGCTTCTTGGAATCTACATACTGAGAAGATTATATTCCATCTTGAACCAAAAAAGTGAGACACAGAGAAGCCTGCTCATATTAGGTCTCTGCCTATGTATAGGGCCCAGATACAGGCCAGAGGAAGACTTACCACCCCCTGATTCATTTAAGATAAAACCTTGAATGGATTCATGAAGAGTCCAAGAAGAACTCAGCAACAATTCCACAACACTGAAGGCTGATTACATCCCAAGTCAAGCTACCCACATGAAGACTTCTTTTCCTCATAGATGTTGAGTCTTCCTTATAAACCCCAAAACATGTCTCTTGGCTGAACTGTATTTGACTTTTTTTTTTTTTTTTTTTGACAGAGAGAGATCACAAGTAGGCAAAGAGGCAGGCAGGAAGCAGGCTCTCTGCTGAGCAGAGAACCCGATGCGGGGCTCGATCCCAGGACCCTGAGATCATGACCTGAGCAGAGGCTTTAACCCACTGAGCCACCCAGGTGCCCCATATTTGACATTTTTAATAGCTGAAGGGAAGTCCAATTATATGGGATAGTCTTTCTGAAGAAGTCCCACCCCTCCCCTGAGTCTATTAAAAAAAAAAAAGTTTCTGGGGCGCCTGAGTGGCTCAGTGGATTAAGCCTCTGCCTTCCACTCAGGTCATGATCTCAGGGTCCTGGGATTGAGCCCCGCATCTGGCTCTCTGCTCGGTGGGGAGCCTGCTTCCCCCTCTCTCTCTGCCTGCCTCTCTACCTACTTGTGATCGCTCTCTCTCTGTAAAATAAATAAATAAAATCTTTTTAAAAAGTTTCATCAAGGTGTAATTCACATACATACAGTTCACCCATTTAAAGTATATAATTTACACTAATTCAAAAAGATCTATGCATCCCTATGTTTACTGCAGCATTATTTACACTAGCCAAGGTATGGAAGCACCCCAAGTGTTCACCAATAAACAAATGGATAAAGAAGATACACACACACACAAACACACACACATACAGGAATGTCACAGAGCCATGCAAAAGAATGAGATCTTGCCATTTGGGACAAAAAGGATGAACCTAAAGGGTACAGTGCTAAGTGAAATAAGTCAGACTCAAAAAGACAAATCCCATATGATTTCACTCATATGTAGACTCTAAAAAAACAAAACAAATGAACAAACAAAAAGCCAAATCATACCTATAAATACAGAGAACAAAGTGGTGGTTGCCAGAGGAAAGGGGAGGTTGGGGGTGGTTAGACTAAATAGTTGAAAGGGAGTGGGAGAAACAGGCTTCCAGTTAAGTAATGAATAAGTCATGGAAATAAAAGGCATAGCACAGAGAGTATAGTCAATGACATTGCAATAGTGACATATGGTGACTGATGGCAGCTGCACTTCTGGTGAGCATAACATATAGAGAAATTGAAGCACTACGTTGTACACCTGAAAACAATGTAATGATGTGTGTCAAAACTCAAATTTTATAAAAAATTATTATAAAAAATAAAGTACATAAGTCAATGGCTTTTAGCATATTCACAAAGTTGTGTAGCCATCACCACTATCTAATCACAGAACATCTTCATCACCCCAAAAAAGAGAGCCCATACCCTTTAGCCATCATCTCCTAGTTCCCAATTTAAAAAAAAAAAAACCTGCCACCACACAGCCCCTGGAAACCACTAATGTGCTTTCCTTCTCTATGACTATACCTCTTCTGGATATTTCATATAAAAGGAATCATTAAAGCATCTGTCTGGCTTCTTTCACTTAGTATAATGTTTTAAAAGTTCATCTGTGTGTAGCATGTATCAGTACCTCATTCCATTTGTGGTAGAATAACAGTCCATTGTTCATCCATTCCTCAGCTGAGGACATTTGGACTGTTTCCACCTTTTGGTTACACTGAACAATGTGCTATGAACATCTGTGTACCTACCTCCACTGCCTTATGGATAAAGCGCTTCCATTGGCTAAGTCAGAATAGCAGGGGCATGAGTAATTGGGAGGTAGATGGTCATTCATTCTTGGGTTTGTCTTTACCTTTGAATTTTTGTTAATTTTAGCCTCTTGGGTGCTCATGGTTGTAGACCACAGACCCAAAGAGGTGGATTCCTTAGTAGTTTTTGGTTGTAACAACAAACCGTTGTTGAAACCTACTTGTTCCTTGCTACCAAAACACTAAAATACCCGATCTGCTTCTCATCTGAAGCCCTCTGATAAGAAGATGCTGTTAAATGGAAGTGTGCTTTAAAAGTTCACCAGCCTCTAGTGGAGAAGACGGTGGGGACAGGTGTGGAGGAGGTGACAGTAACTAGAAGCTGACCCTTACAACTCCCTTATATTTAACCTTGTAGATACTGCAAGGCTATCTTGGTTGTGAACTTCTCCTCTAGTTATTCAGAGGAGTAAAAAAAAAAAAATCACTCCTGGTCAAAATGTGTTTTTCAAGACTCAGTTTAGTACAAAATTAAAATAAGGAGGGGGTCATCATTTCATGTAGTTGTGAAGTCCAAGGATATTCTGCCTTCAGGTACGGTGTGATCTAGGTCATCTTGATATTCTTTCTCCCTTCATTTCGCTGTCTCTTATCTCCACTTCCCTCTGAATGGGCTGCTATTAGCAAGAGGTTTATATTCTTCCCGCCTAGCGACCTCACTAAAACTAGAATCTTTTCTCCAACAGTTCCAGCAAATTCCCAGGGATGACCCTCACTGGTCTCAAGTGTGTCAGGCCATTCTTGAATCCATTGCTATGACTCTGATAGATGAATCCGAGGAGGGCTGCTCCCAAAAAGGAAGAACTGGATTCTGTTACCAGAGGTAGAGATGCAGTGCAAACAAGAACAACAGATGTCTCTTCCAGAAGTCAGGGAAGGTGGTTAAATCTTAAAAGCTGGGTAGGCAAAACCAGAAGAGGAAGAAATGAGCCTGTACTTATTCTGGAGAGTACCCATATCAGTGCAAACTTTCTCCCTGATTTCCTCCCAACAAATAATCTTTCTTCACTACAGGCTTCCATCGTGGGCCAAGTGAGGTCTTGAGATATCCGCAGACTCCCCAGGTCTCCACAAAAATCTGAGGATACTATGAACATAATGCTTCCAGTCCCTTCTCATTTCATAACTTCCAAACAAGAACTTTCCTGTGCAGAGTACGGGAAAGCCAAGCCAATTTTCTGTTTTTGGTATTAAATTTAGACCTTTCATCCTGACCATGAGATATTTCTGGATTCTGCATGAGTATTCAGAGAATGCCAGTTTTCAAGATGCTATCCCATCTGGGGCTACTCTGCACACTGCCCACTTTATCTCATTCTTTTAAAACTGGGAAAAATGACCCAGGCACAGGAACAAATTTGGAAGTGGGTTATTCTGCTATTCATTAATTGTCACTTAATGCCATTGCCATCTAGGTTACTTGGTGAGGAAAGAAATTGAATTTAAATGAAAACCTGAATTGAATTTCGCCTATATCCTAAATTGCCTTGGATCTGGCAATTTAATTTTGTGGGTAT